ACCTTTCCTCCCTGCTTGATTTCCAATGATTTTTACTTTCTTCTCTGTACTTGTGTGCTCATTAGTTAGTTCCAATTCAATAATGAGTACATGGTACATGCGGTGTTTGGTTTTCTACTTGTAAATACTTCACTTAGGATAATGATCTCCAGTTCCATCCAATTTTTTGCAAAAGACATAATTCATCCTTCTTCATGGTTATGTAGTATTCCACATAATACCTATACCACATTTTGTTAATCTACTCATGAACTGATGGGTTCTTGGATTGATTCCATATATTTACAATTGTGAATTGCGCCATAATAAGCATTCACATGTACGTGTCTTTCTGATAAAATGACTTCTTTCCCTTTGAGTAAATATTCAGTAATGGGATTGCTAGATCAAATGATAAGTGTACTTTTAGTTCTAGTTCTTTGAGGAAACTTCATACTGTTTTCCACAGAGGTTGTACTAATTTGCAGCTAGACTACCATCATGGGGGACTCCTGTCCACTTACAGATACTAAGGGAGACCAGAGCAAGGGAGGGGGGTAAAAGCAAAATCAACTCCTGACAGCCAAATTGGTAATCTCAGATGGCTTCTCCCCCACAGGCAGACTTTTTGGTTAGGTGGGGCCACTTCAGCCCTTCCCCGGAGGTCTGGGAGTGGAACTTTCACCCCTCCCAATATCTCCTACCAGCTTTTATGAAGCCTGAGGGTAGGCTCACTCAACTCAGTCCTGCCTGGCCTCACTTACCCTGCCTCTAGCTACTGTGGTAGACAATAAGGCCAGTAGGCTTTCTTCATTCCTTTTTATTCTTTTCTCTCCTCACTGAGGATAATTTTAAATAACCTTTCTTCAAGTTCCCTGAGTCTGTCTTATGCTTGTTTGAGCCTGCTGTTGAAGCTATCACACTTTTTTTCATTGCATCATGGTGTCCTTCAGCTCCAAAATTTCTGTTTGGTTCTTTGTTATGTTTTCTACCTTTGCTGAACTTCTTCTTTTATTCTTGTATTTTTCTGATTTTATTAAATTGTTTATTTGTGTTCCCTTGTACTTCACTGAACTTCTTTAGAATAACGATATTGAATTCATTGTAAGGCAATTCATGAATCTTTATTTCTTTGACATCAATTCATTTTGTTCCTTTGGTGGTGTCATGTTTCCCTAATTCTTCATGATTCTTATAACCTTGCACGCACATTTGTAAAAGCAGGTACTTTACAGAATGTGTGGACTGGCTTAAATATGGAATGAACTTCACCAGTAGGATAGAAGGTAGTGGGAGAGGCACATTTGCTGGGGCTTAGGGTGCCAAGTACAGGGGCCTGTAAGTGTAATATCTCATACACTCCAGCAGCTATAGTCTATGAAATTCACAACAGTGTAATATTTGACAGTGCAAACAGTGGAAGGTCTGCAATAACTCCTGGGGCTGTGTAGCCCTCAGTGGCACTTCCACGTTTAGCAGCAAGGGACCAAGGCAGATGGCACTGGGAGCCAGGGTGGCCAGTGGTATGTTCACATTCACTTATAGAGACCAGCTTCAGGTGTATGGGTGGTGGGAGAAGCCATCTGCAGGCACACCAGTGGTAACAAGGGCCAGGATACATAGCAGGAGCCAAGACCAACTGTGGCATGGTGGTGGTATCCAGCAACAGAAGTTATAGCCGGCAGTCTGTATGCATACAGCCACAGGGCATAGCTAATGATTTGCACATGTGCAGCTATAGGAGTCAGCTATGGGTATAAGCATGGAGTGGGGGCTGGCACTGGGGATTTGAGCTGGCTGCATGCATGCACATAACTATAGAAACCAAAGCTGGTGGTACATGTGTGCATCTGCATGAGCCAGCTACAGTTGTGAGTGCAGTGATGGGAAGTGGGGCCAGTGGCAGGGGTTTAGGATATTTTCAAGAGGGTACATGCAATGACCACGCTCATTCCCAGGACAGGGACTCCTGCAGTGACACTAGCTAAGGCTCTACCAGGGGTAAGCAGGGAGCATAGTGGTTCAGGCAGCAAGAATTTGTGCTGGGAAAAAACTGTGGAGCTCTTGGCAGCAAAAGCTTCAGAGGTACACAATAGCTGTTCTGGACACTGGTTTCCTTGGTGATGAAAGCTGCTGAGACCCTTTGTGGAGGAGGTCACTGGGCTTGTGGCAATGAATATGTAGGGTCTCTGGTGGTGAAAGCTGCTGGAGGTCTGCAGTGGCCATGTGAGCTATAGAGGTTCTCAGGGGCAAATGTTGCTGGGATCCTCTGCTGAGTAGGCCACAGACTCCATTTTTTCCGTACCACAGTACTACTTGGCCAGCTCCCTAAGGATGAACATTTTTCTGTCACTATGACACACTCACACTTCTGCAGGAATGGTTATAGGTAAATTCCTATCCATGGTATTACAAATTAAAGGAATAACTGTATTGTTTAAAATTTTGTATTTTAAAATATAGTACCACTTTCTACAAGGCCTTCCCTGGGCTTTTTCACAGCACAGCAATAGTCAGACAGTCAGGCCATTTGTGGCCAAAGTCTTCAAGAGCAGAAACCATCATCTTTTCTGAGCCAGCCTCAAAACTACACAGCATTACTTCTACCATAGAAGTTAACTCAGATTCGAAAAGAGGAGACATAGACCCCACCTTTTGACAAGTAAAACCAAAGTCTCACTGTAGATTACCATATGGAATGGTAGACTTTGTTCAGGCTAATTTGATAGGGACCTTTTCCACTCTCCAAAAAGTTTCCATAAACTCATACTTTTATTGAGAGCATATTAGAGTACACATTCCCTCATACTCCCTTGCAAATCTGATTAATCTAAAATGTTACCTCATTACTAGTTTAATCTACATTTTTAGATCAGTGACATTAAGTAGATTTTTATATCCTTATTGGTCCCTTATATTTCTTTTCCTGGTGTCTGGCTGTTTATAAGTTTTTCTATCAGATTGTTATCAATTTTAAGAGTCCTTTGTAAGTGAAGAAAATTATCCCTTCCTAATTGAACCTTATAAATATGTTTTTGATATTGCTATTTCTTCTTGACTTTGTTTTTCACTGTACTGAGACTTACAATTTGTCTATAGTTATATCTATCATTATTTTCTCTTATAGTTTCTGGGTTTTATATCTTGCTGAGAAAGATCTTCTGTACCCCAATATTATTCTTAATATATCCATTTTTTCCACCACTCCTAGTAAACTGGTGGTAATGAGCACATTTATCTCATAATTGATTTGTAGATAATGCTTTTGTTTCTTCATAAAATTGATATATTTGTCCCAATGTTATCTTCAATGATTAGGTCAATGTTTTGCCTATAGTTGATGTTCTGTAAATATTCATGGAATAAAGGAGCCTGAAATTAAAAAAAAATAATATATCCATTTTTTCCAGATTTTGGTCATTGACCTTATAACTTGTTACATATAATATTATACTGACCATATAGTATTTAACCACACTTTCTTTCCTGTAAATAATTCCCCTTTGGCCAATATATTATTTTTAATTTAGTATTGGGTTCTAGTTGCTAATATTTTCCCCAGATTGAAGCTTTTTTCCTAGATCTTCCCAAACTTCTTCTTATTCGCCAAAATTTAGAGTTTTTCTATTATTTCTCATTATTGTCTTCATATTTTGCTTCACTTCTGCATTTTGTAAATTCCAATTTGTATTGTTTTATATAATTTCTTGATGTTTTTCAACTCCTTTGATAATGGCATATTAAAATTTTGATCTACTTTGTATCCATGTACTCCTGGGCTGTGTTGGTTATTTGAGGAGATATTCTACTCCCTATTCTCCTTTTCTAATAGTAAGTTTGTATGGGATTTCTTCTCAGTACTCTTCTGTTCCTCGGTTTTAAAAGAGCTTATTTTACCTTAACTAGAAGCAGTCAAGGGTGGCTTTCCTAACTTCATAGAGCTCCCTCTTCTGTTGCATTTGTGAAATGTTCAAAAACATAGCCGCCTGCTTTCTGGGTTGTCCACCCCTTCCCCACACTCCTGTCCCCGCCCCTCAAACCCCCCCCACCCCCCCACCCCACCCCCGCCCTGGGTCTTCTCTTTCCTTGCTCTGTTGTTTCTGTCCAGCTTATAGCCGTTTCTTGTCAGCAAAGCACCCTATCCCAAAAGGGAACTGTGGCTGGTTGGTTTGAAAACTTCCTAGACTATTCCTTGGCCTTTCAGAACTTTCCAAGACCCTCTCATAAACCCCTACTATTGTACTGGACAAAACCCCTTAGAGTTTCAGCTGCTATTCTCTGATTGGCTTTTCAGGAAATAAAAACATCCCTCAGTATCCAATGGGGATAGTGCCAGGATCCTCTGCCCCACCAAGATACCAAAATCAGAGGATACTCAAGTACCTTATATAAAATGGTATAGTATTTTCACATAACCTACACACATTCTTGTGCTTGTGTACTTTAAATCATCTCTAGATTACTTAGAAAACCTAATACAATGAAAATGCTGTGTAAATAGTTCTATTAATGAACTTTCAAATTTTTTGTTATTTTTTATGGCTGTATTATTATTTTTTATTGTATGGGTTTTTGTAAAAATATTTTCAATCTTCAGTTGGTTGAATATGTGGGTGAAGAACCTGTGGATATGGGGCAGTGATTCGGACCTCGTGGCTGTTTTGAGGTTCTTGAGTTCTCAGGCCATTTGCTTTTCTTGGCTTTCTTCCAAATCTTTTTCTTTGCCTTATCAATTCATTGAAAATTTTCAAGACATTAGAAATCTTCAGAATCTGTGCAGCTTTCCCCCTAACACATATAACATTCAACAGGAGTTCAAATCGGATGAAATTCATACAATTTCAATGACATAAGAAAACTGAAAAAGGGGAACTGAAAGTGGGAATTTCCTCTGAAATAGAAAGGAGCATCTCACATAAATAGGCCATACCCATGGAGGAAAGGCATTCACGCTGCCTACTTCTGAAGCCTGTGCCTCAGCAGGCACACAGGTTGTACGCCACGCTGTTCCCGTTTTCATCATGACCAACAAGTGCATCCTCCAAGTCATCCTCCTGCTGTGCTTCCTCACTATGGCTTCTTCCACCAGCTCCAGCTTGCTTCAGTTCCAACAGAGAAGAAGTACCTTGGGGTGTCAGAAGCTCCTGCGGCAATTGAATGGGAAGCCTGAAGGTTGCCTCAAGGACAGGATGAACTTTGAGATCCCTAAGGAGATCAAGCAGCCACAGCATCTCCAGAAGGAGGACGCCATGTTGTTCATCTATGAGATGCTCCAGAACATCTTCAGAATTTTGAGAAGAGATTTCTCTAGCACTGGCTGGAATGAGACCATTGTAGATGCTCTCCTTGCTAACTTCCATCAGCAGATGGACTCTCTGGAGACAACCCTGGACGAAAAACTAGAGGACAAAAACTTCATCGGGGGAAAAGTCACAAACATTCTGCACCTGAAGAGTTATTACTTCAGGATCACGTGGTACCTGAAGGCCAAGAGGTACAGCAGCTGTGCCTGGACAGTTGTCCGAGAGGAAATCCTCAGGAACCTCTTCTTCATTAACAGACTAACAGGATACCTGAAAAACTGAAGGTCCGCTGTAGCCTGTGCTTCTGGGACTATGCAATAATTTCAAGCATTCTTCAACTGCCAGAGACTCTTTAAGTGGCTGACAGCTAATGCACTGGCTTTGAAAGGACAATGGAGGACTTAACAATTTAATTTATGAATATTTTTATATACTATTTAAACTTTGACTTTGAAAAATAAATTATTTTATGTACAAAAGTCAACGTGGCAGTTTGAATTTTAACTTGATTTATATAACCGTGCATATTAAAATTGCCGAGCACCTCGTAGGTGTTCTTCCTAAAATGTACCTGCAACGTAGTAGAGTTCCTGACTCCTACCTTTGAGGAATTTTAAAATCCAAGCAAGCCACATGGAATATACAAGGTAATAGATAATAAGGGGACTTGAGCCTTTGGGGGGAATAAATGTGGCATGAACTGCTATGAGATTGGAAGAGATGAGGCAAGCAGGAGGCTCTGGAGCTAGAATCCGGGTGCCCACTGCTCCTGCTTGATGCTCCAGTTTATCTAGCGGTACAGGTAGAATCTGGCTGGTCACTGGGGTAGCCAGGGGAATGTGTCAGCTCAGGTGTTTACCCTAAGCCCTCTCCTATTATTTGGGGGAATACTTTGCCCCTGGAAGAATTTTAAAATATGTATGTGTGTGCCCCCTCAAGCTTAGGGCACTTCCATGACACTGTTCAGCAGCAGTTCCTTGATTGTGCTCTTCGAGGGATAGCCAAGGTGGGTGGGTCTCTTAGAGGAGCTGAGGATTTCTGTCTGCTGCCAAGGCTACAAAACCAGAGGCAGAAGAATCCTCCTTCTACTCTAGCCATTTGCTGAATTTTCTCCCCAGTTTTCAAAATTACAAGTCTTTTTCTATCCCCCCTCCATGTTCATACAGAATGCCAGAAATATCATTATTCGGTATTGCTGCTACTCTGCATCTCTGAAGCGACAAATACCCTAAAGCCAAGACCAAGACAGGTACAGCAGTCTAAGTCCAGCTTTAAGCCCAGGGAGAAGCCAGAGAGCATGGGAGAAAGGGACATTCAGATAGCATAAAGAGGGGACTAATTTTTCCCAGAGATTACACTGGGAAAAATCAAGCTTTCCTAGGTCTTTCTGCACCTGGCCAGCATGTGCCAACTGGCTAGGTTTTTGCCTTCGTAGTGAACCCCTTGGGAAGTTGGGTTATTATGGCTATTACTGTCATTAGCAGCTGCCATTTACTGAGAGAGTCTAGTGAAACAGACACTCTGTGCTGAGCTCCTGTGTAGGTAATTGGATTTAATCCTCTTCCCAGGCACCCCTCAGGTAGGCACAATTACATTATTTACATTTTACAGGACAGGAAACTAAATCTTGAATGTGACATAGTGACCTAATTTACTCCATAGTATTTGGAAGTTTCAGAAACAAGCACGAAGGGCAGAATCAAAAAGTCTTTTCATTTGTATCCAGACTTTTTCTCCAAGGGCAGTAGGGAAATCTGCTTTCCTTTTAAAGGAGTCAGCCTTCAGAAGAAATCTGTCCAGCGATTTAGAGAAGCTACTTCTGTGCAGACAATGAACTTAGGGCTCCCCCTTCCGGCTCAATGTGGGTAACACACCTCTGTACAACCAAGAAGTTCCATCCTGGTGGGCCCACTGCGATTGACGCTATCTAGTTAACTGCCCTGTAAAACAACCAAGGTTTCTTCTTCCCCTAAGTCCCCACCTCAGCTCTGCTGAAAGCCCTTCTGCACCTAGTCTCCCTTTAGTAAGAGGTCAAAGATAATATCAGTAAGGAAAAACACAGAGTAAAGGTAGTGTTTAAGCAAATGTCTGGTAAAGAAGTCTTTCAGCAATGGGCCCCAACTGTCCACTGCCTCCTCTGGCTGAACTGCTAAATTGGCCCAGAAACTGGAAAGTTGCTGGAAAGGGTTTCTCTCTGCCTATGTGCTGGGCCCGAAGTACCAGAGAGAAACTTCCTTTGCAGAATTATAAATACAGTTGAGCATGTCAGCCCATCCTGAATACCAAAAGTATGGCCATCATCGGTAGAGGATAAATAACAATTAACATTCATTCCAATAAAAATAAAGGAGACTGGCCCAAGGGTATACATTTGCATATGCTGAACAGATGCCTATGTATGAAGGGTGAGGTAAAATAATATTATTTAAGTGGGCAGCAGAATATCTCATAAGGAGAACATTCTTTGTTTAGAAAAATATCTCATGGACCTCACGAGACAGAAGGTGAGATCTTGAGGTTATGGGTATAGCAATGAAAAGACAGTGAATCATCTATTGCATGTTTTTGTGTTTAGCTGGTTTTTAAGTAAAAAAGAGACAGAAAGAAATCCCTCTCCCGCAAAAGTCGGGGGTTGTGATGTTTCCTGGAACAGGGAAGACAGTGAAAGTCTCTTGGTTGAGATGAGCAAAGAACTTTCCAGAATGGAGTGTCTCCTAACTTGAAACTGTGTGCACAGATGTGCTGAACTCTTTCTACCATCTTCTCTAAAACTTCAGTAAAGATTGAGAGCCACAAAATGTCCTTGTATATGGAATTTCTATGCATAAATCATAGAACGTGTCCAGGTCCATGACTGAAATAGTATGGAGAAAAATCATGGGATGGCTAGACCTTCAAAATAGACCGAATTAGCAGGGAAATAAGGCAAAGTGATGACCTCAGATCCACCTTCTTTCTTCCCACATTGTGCCTTAGGAATCCAAGAAAACCATGGTGAGCACATTGTGCTTCCATGGGCCTAGATCAGCGGATGCACTGTCTCATCTAGCTTCTGAGCAGTAAGCAGATGTGCTAAACATTTGAGTTACACATCAATATGTAGATGTGTCCTAAACACATGACCACGCAGATGGATGCAGGGTTGTACCCGCGCACATCTATGTGAAGCCTTTTTTGCAGTTAACAATGCTGATATTAAGGCATTTTAGGTGGCATTCAACACTTTCAGATACTCGGATTACACCTCATCAGGGACTTGTTCATAAAATACTCTTAAGAAAATGAAAAGAACATACCACAGACTGGGAGAAAACATTTGCAAATCATACATCTGATAAAGAACTACTTGTATTTAGATTAGATTTTTTAAAAATATTCTGTGAAGGCCAGAACATGGCTTACATCTGCAATCCTAGCACTCTGGGAGGCCAAAGCAGTGGATCCCTTGAGCTCAGGGGTTTGTGACCACCCTGAGCAATAGTGAGATCCAATCTCTACTAAAAATAGAAAAAATTAGCCAGGGGTTGTGGTGGGCACTTGTAGTCCAAGCAACTCAGAAGGCTGAAGCTAGAGGATCACTTGAGCCCCCAAATTTGTGGTTGTTGTGAGCTATGATGTCACTGGCACTCTATGTGACAGTCTCTGTCTCAAAAAGGAAAAACAAAAACAAAACCACAACCCTGAAAACTCAATAATAATAAAACAACCCAATAAAAATGGGTTTAGGCTCAGTGCCTGTGACTCAAGTGGCTAACGTACCAGCCACATACACCTAAGGTGGCAGGTTTGAATCTAGCCTGGGCCCGCCAAACAACAATGATGGCTGCAGCCAAAAAAAATAGCCAGGCATCATGGCGGGTGCCTGTGGTCCCAGCTACTTGGGAGGTGGAGGCAGGAGATTCACTTGAGCCCAGGAGTTGGAGGTTGCTGTGAGCTGTGATGCGACAGCACTCGATTCAGGGGGACAACTTGAGGCTCTGTCTCAAAAAAAAAATGGGTTGTATATTGGAACAGATGTTTCACACAAAAAAAGATGCACAAATAGTTTGTAAGTACACGAGATGGTAAAGGCTCATAGAGGATTTGTGGTAGAGTAGGTCAGAGAATGAAAGTGAAATGGTCTGATTACAGAGAAGCCTGTCCCACCACGGCCCTTTCTGAGGAACATCCACCAGCCCTGTTGGCCGAGCTCCGTACGATACATGTGTGGTCTGCCCAGCAGAGACGGTAGGGCCCTAATCAACATGGATTTTTGCCTTGAGTGGCCTGGATGTGAGACATGCAGAGAGAGCCAGTGGTTGGTAGGAGAGTCAGAAGGTGAATGGCATCCAGAACCAGACCTTGCCAATTGCAGTCGTTTTCTCCAAATCTTTTGCACTGCTGGTTATTGTGCTTAAAAAATGGACTGTTTTTTGGGTCCACTTATTTTCAACATTAAGTGTTGCTTTTAAAATCCCAAGTTTAAATGTCTAGAATTTCCTAGAATACTTTAAAACAAACTCACTCTACTGATGTAGTAGGATCGAGTTAATTGCTGAACACGGTAATTGACTTGATGGAAAGAATAGGCAGTTCCCGGGTTATAGACAAACTGACTTAACAGTATCCTGTACTTAGAAAGTAACTAAGGATAATTTATAATTAAATAATGGAACTAGTTTCTTCCACACATGTAAACAAGCCCTCATGGCACGAGCAATTCGGTAGCACAGCATCTTCATACCAACAGCTAGTCTCATAGACAGAGAAGCAGCTAACAGAAACACAAGAACACGAAGAATCAGAAGATCCAAAACCAAGACAGTTGGCAAAAGAATTAACTGAAGGCTTTCATCTCACGGAAACTGGATTTGCTAAGCTTGAGGAGCAAGACTCTAACATTGAGCAGTCTATAAAGGTTTGCCATGCGGTTAGTGAGAGCATCAGCTGCTACATGGCCATTTGTGATGAGCTTTTTCCTTCCTCAAGAGACTGACTTCGGTAGTAGCTCAACTCCTCCAGCAACAGAATCAAATCCTGATTCTCCAGTACCCACTCTATCCTCTCAAGGTAGATATTAACCTACCTTCTTACCCCTTTCCAGTAAGCAAGATGTTCATGCAACATTACATGAGTGTTAACCTCAAAAATTCTTCCTTGAAATTTCTCCTATCCTCTATCTAAACTTTTTGTATGACTTTGTTTTTATGTTCTCTTCATTTGAATTTAAGAAAAAGAAGACAAGGATTTCTGTAGTTTATTATTACATTACAGGGTTATCATTATTATTATTATAGAAATAT